TGCTCCTTGTTTGCACGGTGTCGCTTTGAGAGCTCTTCCATGCTGTCTGTTGATACGGATAGATCGGCATTACAAGGTGGGGTGGGCGGGTCTTATTCCCCAAACATGCTAATGAGGTTGTTCCTCCCCTTTTAGAGTATGATCTGGTAGTGTTGCCCCCAGGCGTCTCCTTTCTTTATCTCCGATCTTGGTGCGTTCCATTCTAGTGTTAATCAACTCGCCCTGGGTGTTCTCTATACGGTAATCAGGAGTGTCAGTCTTCATTGCTCTCTCCCCTCCACTCTCGGTGTTCCTCCCATGTACATCTTTATTGGGTTCATTCCACACCCCCGTTGGCATATTTAAGTTGGTGCTGCTGAACGGAGTGATCGAGTTGTTACAGGTGGTAGAGCTGGAGAAACTACCCTTTCCTCTCCCAAATATGGCAGGCAATTCAACGCCCCCGCCAAGGGTGTTTTAAATGTGGATCTCTTATCAGGCAACGCTCTCCCCTCCGGGTGTCCTGAGGGGTGCGTGCAATCCCCCAGTCCACACCTTAGTGCTCCTGTATCTCCCAACGCTCCTTCGGATGCTCGGAGATGTCTAACCATTCTGGGGGTGGGGGGAAGTCCCGATCGTTGTCTACATTCCGTTTGAGTACTCCCGGGCTGTGGATGGTGAAAGGGGGAATTCTTCTCCACAATCCTCTCCATTGGTATATTCAGTGTTTCTTTAGGATGTCTCCAATGGCAAAGAGAAAACACCCAATGACAGCTACACAAGCAAAAAATGCAAGAAAGCAATCATTGCCAATAAGAAACCGGCAACCGAGAAACAGCCTATTGCATCAGGCCCAATGACAAGATCTAGGAGCCGAGTGCAGTCTCTGGCCAATCTATAAAGAGGACTCTCCCACTGACCGGCATTTTGAGCCCTGATGATGTCAGCAGTTGTTGACGAAAGCTAGGCATTTTATTAATTTTTATGGTGATTTTATTGGTATTGTATTAAATTTTACTAAATTTTACTAAAAATTTTAAACATTCCCTGGTGCTCACGTTTATTTGCTTGGTTTTAAATATGGATATACCCAGGGATCATATTTTTAGTGTAATTGTTAACATATATATATATATATTTAGGTTTTTTTTTTTTTTTTTTTTTTTTAGGTTTTGCTAACAAAGAATAAAGAGAGAATGGTATAGCTATTTCGGGTTCCTTTAACCCTCATCAGCCAAACTTACTCTTCTGAGATTCGAACCTGGGCTATCTGCATGTTAGGCAGATGTTATAACCTCTAAGCCACGGGTTCTCTCCCACTTTGTTAGCTACCAGGAGAGAGACAGGTATATGTAGGTCTTTGGTTGTTCGGGTTTTCTCCCGCGTAAAATTGGAAGTGTCTTGGCGACGTTTCGACGAAGTCCCATTCGTCATCTTCAGGCTGGTGTTTTCAGCTTCGTGCTTTGAGCAGCAATGTGTGGTCTTAGCTGTTTCTTCCTTTTAACTGCCAGTGGGGGTATGAACTGATTGGGTGGGAGCTTGGCTGTGTTCTGATTGGGTGGAGGTGTGTTCTGAATGGTTAGGGGCTTGGCTGTGCTCTGATTGGCTGGGGGAGTGTTCTGTTTGGTTGTGCTCAGGTTAGTCTGAGTTGCAGAGGGGTTTGAGATTTTGGGCTGCCTTGCTATTTTTTGGCTTCGCGTTCGTGGTCGTGCTTCCTCTTCATGGGGGGTGTCAGTTTGATTCATGTATGGATTGGAGGGGTTTAAAGTGGCTAATGATGCAGCTGTGGTCTGGCTTCTGGTTTGTGGTCGTGCCTCGTCATCGGTGTGGCTTTGGGTTTGTTTTTTGCGTGGATGTGTGGTGGTGACATCCTGTGTGGTTTTTGTGAGTGTGGGTCTGGTATCATTTTTTGTGTTAGGGAGTCGTTTGTCAATAAGGGCGGGTTTCCAAATGGCTGGTAGGCGGGAGGTATCATCTCGCTTGTTCATGCTGTGTGGGCGTTTTTCTATCTCGATGGCTTCTCTGATTATTCTGTTATTAAAATGTTCACTTTTGGCAATGGTTCTGGTATTTTTAAAGTCAATTTCATGTCCTGTGGCTTTAAGGTGTTGGACCAGGGAAGATGTTGGTTCCTCTTTTTTGACTGAGTTCTTATGTTCTTCAATGCGTGCACTTATTCTTCTGTTGGTTTGTCCGTTGTATGTGGTGGGACAAGTGGTGCATGGGATTTTGTATACTCCTTGATTTTTTAATTCAATTTTATCTTTGGGGTTTCTAAGGATGGTGGATATTTTTCTATTTGTGCAGAATGCTGTTTTGATGTTGTGTTTATGGAGGATCTTACTGATTCTGTCTGTGGTGCCTTTTATGTATGGGAAGAGGGCTTTGCCGTTTTCTTGTTCTTTGTCTTGGATTTTAGTGGGGGTTTCTTTTTGGATTAGGTTTGTAATCTTATTTCTATGGAATCCAACATCCTCTGCACCAGCAAGCCACCCAAAAGCAACTTACCCAAAGAGGAACAGACAGCACTACGTAACCTGAAAGAAGACACCAGCATAATAATCCTACCAGCAGACAAGGGCAGCACCATGGTGGTTATGAACACATCTGACTACCAAACCAGATTAACCAACCTACTCCAAGACTCCACATACAAACCCCTAAATACAGATCCCACCACCTACCTGGAAAAAACCACCAGATCCAAAATAAAAGCCTCCCCCATTAGCGAAGAGATCCAGCAAAGAATCATTCCAAGAGAGAAATCATCCAGATGCCCAAACTCTATGGTCTCTCCAGGATACACAAAGAAGGAACCCCACTCAGACCTATAGTCAGCTCCATAGGCTCACCTCTACAAAACCTAGCCAAATTTCTCGCCAAACAATTACAGCCCTATGCAGAATCCATCACCTCACACGTAAAAAACTCATTCCAGTTTATAGAGATCATAAAGAAACAAAACTTACAGCCCAGCGACCTACTAGTGAGCTTCAATGTCATATCCCTCTTCACCCAAGTGCCTATCAAAGAAGCCTTGACAGCTATTCAAAACAAATATAACCCCCCCAAACACATCTTAGATCTGACCAACCACTGCCTATCCAACACATACTTCATCTATAATGGACAAAAATACAAACAAACAGAAGGAGCACCCATGGGATCACCCCTCTCACCTGTCATTGCCAACCTCTACATGGAACACTTTGAAACCCAAGCTCTAGAAAAATCGGATCACAAACCCAAACTCTGGGTCAGATACGTAGACGACACCTTCATAATCTGGCCACATGGGAAAGAAAAACTGGACAACTTCCTCACACACCTCAACAGCCTACACCCCAAAATACAGTTCACCATGGAAACAGAAGCTAACAACCAACTTCCCTTCCTGGATGTCTTAGTCTACAAGAAATCCAATGGCTCCCTAGGACACACCATCTACCAGAAGAAAACACACACAAACCGCTATCTGCACGCTCTCTCACACCACCACCCAGCACAGATCAACTCTGTAGCCAAGACACTCATCTCTAGAACAAAACGCTTAGCTGACGAACAACACCTTAAACCCGAACTACACACTCTCACCAATGTACTAACATCCAATGGATTCCATAGAAATAAGATTACAAACGGGGATGTGAGATGGTGAGATGCATTGCTATTGTTTGGCTTCACGTTCGTGGTCATGCCTCATCTTCATGGTGGGTGAAGATGAGGCAACATGGAAACTACGATCAGAGTGCAAGTGGATTGGCTGGGACCTGTAACGAGGTCCAGGAGCCGGGCGCAAAGAACGCCATATCCATAAATAGCCTCCCCCATCGACTGGAAGCTACCCTGATGATGCTGGCAGTTGCTGGCGAAAGCTTGGTATTTTAACTTATTAAAACTTTTTATAGTTTTATAATTTCCTGGTGTTCTTGCATTTTTGCTAGTTAAACATATATATATATATATATACAGAAAGTTTTTCAGACAGACAGTCTAATTGCACCTTTTGCATTTTGACTCTATACTGCAGTTCTACTTTTTTTTATAATCTCTTTTGCCTTGCAGCCCCCCAACTAGGGGCATTAAGCAGGCTCAAGTCACTACTGTGATACATTACAAATTCAGATTTCTTTTTGCTGACAAGAGTTAAAGATTTAAGTGGGAGACTAGTATAGCTATTTCGGACTCATTTGTCCTCATCAGCTAGCCACACCCTGGTGGTTAATACAACTGCCTAGCATGTAGACTGCCCAGGTTCGAATATATTTGTAAGCCCACAGAGTCACAGTCTGTGAAATGGGCAACTATATAAATATAATAAATGAGTATTCTCTCAGTTTGTTGAATCGTACATAATTGGAAGAATGGGGAGACTATTTTGAGGGGGAAGGTGATAGAGGAGAAGACTGACAGAACCATGGGGAAACATTAAGAAAGGCATCAGTTTAGAATTATTAAATAGCCACAAGGGAACTAAGTTCAACCCCCTTTGAATGCTATTGACCCTTATCTAACTCTAATCAGGTGCTGATCGTTAATTGAGAAGATTCCTGTGCCTAGGCCAGGGGTAGGCAACCTTGGCTCTTTTATGACTTGTGGACTTCAACTCCCAGAATTCTTGAGCCTGCCACACTGAGAGGAAAGGGAGAGGTTTCCAAGCTGAGCCATGGCTGGCTCAGGAATTCTGGGAGTTGAAGGAATATTCAAGGACACGAGAATACAATAAGACAAAGAAAGACTGCCCCTTTGGCCAGTCAGGGGACTCCAAGCAGCCCTTCAGAGGCAGCAAGTATGAAGCACTCTCCTGGTTAGGTTTGGATTGAACAGTTAGGAGTTTCTAATTAGTTTACATAGGCTCTGAAACACTGTTACTGATACCTTTTTCAATGGTCTCATTTCACTGGATTTGTCAAGAAAAGTCTATTTTACCTAGGAATGTTTTGTCTAGTCCTGACAAGAATGTAACCATCAACATTAAGGAGTATTTGTTTTTATCAGATGGCAATGAACCATGTCAAAGTTAGGTGGTATCTGTTTCCAAGCTGTTTGTTTTGATTTTGATTTTATTGATGAGAGAGAATCATCCTATTCTACACAAGGACAAGGCAAAATAAAATATACCATTTAGTGACTTAAAAAATGCTTGTTTAATTGTGTACTACATACGCAACCATTATATAGAAATATAAAATTCGACGTATGATGCACCTAGGGAAAGAAATTCACAACACTATCCAATATCTCCTCACCAATTTACTGGTAAAATACTTAGGTCTATACTCAAAATGATTTTACATGACACTCCCATTTAGTATTTTGTTACAGTTGGGACATGTTTAACTTAAACCTGCTACAACATTTAGACAAACATTTATGGAATTTAAAAAAAAACACAGAAGCAATCATTTATTTATAGAATATGTGCAGCTGCCCATCTCAGCTATACATATTCTATATAACTTTAGGCAGATCACAGTAACAAAACATATTAAGAACATTTTTAATGTAACCAAGGAAAGAAAAGAAGAAAAAAGGGAGGGAGGGAGGGAGAGAGAGAGAGAGAGAGAGAAAGAAAAAAAGGAAGGAAGGAAGGAAAGAAAAAAAGAAAAGAAATCTCCAATCAAAATCATATGCAAGTCAGGCTCCATTAATAAGCTGGTTCCAATGTCCAAGGTAGAAGCCATGCTTTCTAGGTTTTCTGAATGGCTAACAGTAGAGGACTCTGCACATCTCATGGGAGAATGTTCTTCCATTGGACACATGCTATGGCAAATAAGGCATGTTTCCTGGGTCCTGCTAAGATGGCATGTTCCATAGAAGAGACCTAGAATATGTCTACCGTGAGACAAGTGAGATAAATGGTACTTCAGTCAATCTGGTCCTGTACCAAATAGAGCTTTATAGAGTCACACCCTTATATTGAGTATAGAAGCCTACTGGGAGCCAATACAGCTTGTAAAGTAGTGGTGTTTTTCTAACTGAAAATTGTCTTCCCCTTGCTTCCCCCTAGTTCTTTGTTTTTTCTTGGCCTCCTATCCACTGTTTACAGTGTATCAATTTCTGAATTGATCACAATATTCTCAAGGGGAGGGAGTGCAAACGTAATATTGTATGGTATAGATGCCCAGTGAAATTGAAGAATAAATCCCCGCAAAATACATTTATGGTATGTTTCAGCTTTCATAACATGGATAACATGAACAAAGAATCAGCCATAATTGTTTGTAAGGAATTTCCTAGAACACTTATGCTGCAAACATTGACAGTCACTCTAAATGTTATAGTTCTGCCTGTTGATGGATATGCTTTTTAAAGGAAAAGAATGAAGTGTTTTGTGCTTTACTATACATTAGTAGCAAAAGGGTCAAAGTAAATTATGTTTATCTACACACAAAGATTGGGTACAGTGCTTCTGTTCTTGTGCATAATAAGATTCTGTAAGAGATCTGTTTAGGTTTCAATAAGTGATATAGTTTGTCAGATTTATACAATACCTGAGGCTTACAACAGTAGTGCTCTTCTGCTGTAGTGAATGCCCAGGATGTCTAAGTGTCTTGTGCTCTCAGCATTCGGCAATGCCTACTGAGCCTGCCTTCTTGACCATTGGACCATTGATCAGTCAGTCTCCTATGCTTGATGTCCACTGGCTTTGAAGACAGGTGCTGCCAAAGGTGCCAATAGAAAACTGTAAGCAGTTTCACAGATTAAAACTCATAGTTACTACAACAGTGGACTTCCAGTGCCCCCTTGTGCTAGACTTTGCGCTTCCAGAATCTGAAGAGTCCCCTCCATGTCTACAGATGAACATGGAGGGGACTCTTCAGATTAATGAGTAGAGTAATGAGTCGTCTTTGAACCCAAAAGACTACCATATACCACAGTAATAAATTTTTTTATCTGTAAATGCTTGGATAGTGGAAAGAAACAGTACTTCATCTGTGTTTTTACCTCCCTCTTTCTATGAATCAAATATTGAATATATTTTTTCCTTACCAAAATAAACTTATACTGTGATATTGTTCAATATTTTGGGTAATTTTTCTTTTAGTGGAAAGTTGTAGATATTTCAGTGCACATAAATAAAATGTATCATGAATTTCTATCACATGCATCTCTGCATCTTTCAGATGATACTGGATCATTATCAATTTGTAGAACATGATAATTCAATCTGCCATTTATGTCCATTTTCGTTGATCAAGTGACACCATTTGATATAAACTAACATCCTTATTTTGCTATATACCTATGACATACTTACACTGAGTTACAGTGACTTAAAAGGCCACCTACTTTTTAAATTCCAACTTAAATTCAGTTTAGTTTTATTTAAAACTATGGTCCTATATATGTAGGAGGTCATGTGTTCTATATTTATTTCATAGGGGTAGTCAAACATCCTATTATACTGGGCCAACAAAGTGCAGAATGTGATAAAACCATTGATTACTAAAGAAAGTAAAGAGTTAACGATCACTGTGTTGTAGCAAAAGGAGCTAGAAAGCTAAGAGAACTTGAAGAGGTAGGTAAAAAAATAGAAAAGGATAGAAACACTATACAGAGAAAAGAAGAGACAAGACATATAGAGTCATCTTCTGATAATGTTTAATCTAAGCATGGTGTTTTGTGGATGAATTTTTTAGAGATTGAACTTATATCCTATATGATCTGGTGATAGAATATTGTAGTTAAAAATAAAAAAATTGCATTTATCATCAGCTGACTCTTAACCCTAACCTTAACCCTAACTTCTTACTACTCTTTTTTTGAGGCTAGAATCAACTCATTCACTCTTAACTTTTTCAGTCTTCCCCCTTTTCTTGACCTATTTACCCTTCTTTCATGTATTTCTTTTGCAATTCAGTTCTCATTCATTCTCTATTTAACAAACCATCCCAATGTATTTCTTTTGTATTAGTCACTGAGTTTTGTATTCAATGCACATGCATTTAGCACCCCCTCTTGATATTATTTTATCGTGTTTAATGACTTTTGAAGTAATCTATTCACACTGCTTCAACTTACTTTTTTGACATATCTAACTCATGGTTCTATATAACAAAGTGGACAGAGGCATGCTCTTATACACAGCCATTTTCCATTCTTCTGATAAACATGTTTCACAAAATACTGGTACCACATACCTGCACTATTTCACATCTTGAAACCTCTCTATTTACTTCCAATGTTGACTAAACATTGTACCAAAGAATACTCATTTCTTGTTTTGCTCTTGTTTTTACCATTTATTTATAATTTGCAATCATCCACTCAATTTTCTTTGCCACCTTGATATTTGATGTAGGTTTTTTTCAGATCCATACTCTTTGTTGCATTGTACAGATATAACATTCACTGCCGCTCATTGTGGTTCTCAGCTAAGAACACAGCATTTTGAAGTGCATGTATATTGATGTTCCACCTCTGACATCACCAAAAGCATTTCTTAAATATGGAGTAGTTGAATTGTGTTCATATGGGACACATGCATTCAATTTATATGTTAATATATATCTTTCAGTCATTCTACTTTCACTCTAGATTCTCACATATTTTCTTCCATGTCTTCCATCTTTTTAAAAACATTTTGTCTTATCACTACCAAATTGTGATTTATTCCATATTTAGAATTCACCCTTGTGTCCTTCACTAATTCTCTCAATTTTTTATCAAAAATAATCAGATCATTCATGTTTTCCATTTGTACGCAGAAATAGGCTTAAACTTTGTGCTTGAAAATGAGCAGACCTTTTCTAAGCTGATACTGACCAGTAATCATTCTCACTTTTTCTTAGGTCATTGAATAGTTGAGTTAATTTTTCTGTACTCTTTTGTCTTATTACTGTGTTTATGTCCCCCTAACAATAATTTTTTTCTGCTGGATTATATTCATTCAGAATATCTTCTAAAATTCATTACTGGCTCTTCCATTATTACCATTCAGTGGACTATGGATTCCTACATTCCTACGCACCTATTACAGCCTAAATAATTTAGCTCTTACATTCTTCAACACCAGTTAGTTTCCCATTGCAATAAAAGGTGCTGTTGACTACATATTAAGTTCTTCATAACATAAGGCTTATCTTTTTTGAGGGATCACCTGTTTCTGATATTTTTTGCCTATTCCATCTATGCTCCAAGTACCACCAATCAAACAGTGTCATCTGATGAGACCTATCTTTACTGTAACATCTGCCCTCTGGAGCAGGCTTATCAAAATATTCAAATGGCCTTTATCTATAGTGACCACGTTGTCATGAGAAAAAAAAATTGTTTAGCTTTATAACTTTGCTTTACAAAGGAAAATTCAAAAGCAGAACCAAGAAAACCTTGGCCATTATTGTGTATTCTAATAAAAACATCTAAAATCAAAAAAGTACAAGTATTTTAAAAAGAAAAGTCAATTTCCATATTTTTCACACGAATGTGAAAGATTATGCATTAAGTAGCACCATTTGTATGGTAAAAGTTTAATGTACAAAATAAAGGACAAAAGTGAATTTTTGAAAAATAGAATTATCAAAAGGACAGCTTTCCGAAATAAAGGGCATATGGTCACTGTCCTTGTTCAAAGGTTTAGATTTTCCGAAAGCTTTGAGCTTATGTGAGTGGTAATTTACTTCTACAGTATGTTGGCTTTATGTTCTTTTGCTATGCCTGGACAACATTTTGCTTTCTTTACTGTATTTTTCTTTTCTATTTTAGTGCTGTATCCTTCTCAGAACTGGACAGTCTTATAAATTTGATATATAATTAAATTCAATTTGTAATCTATTTATAGGCATCTATTGCTTTAATGTTGATTGATATATTTTAATATATATTCTATTGTTGTTTTAATAAAGCTACTAGAACAAGCACAAAGAAATTGGATCTTCATACATAGGCTGACAGAATATGCTGTAAGGAAAGCATAGAACTAATTTATCAAATAGAATGCTGTCCAGGATTTAACAAAAAGAAAATACCAATAACTCTATAAAAAACTGGGTTCAATAGAATGCAAAAACATGAAAAGCAAAAGGCTTGAAATTTTAAACTGCAGACAAAAGGCTCCAGCATTTCAGTCCTGGTTGCTTTTAACAAATAAGGTGTGGGAAGTATACCAAGAAGAATGTGCTAGCCTGTTCTGGTGAAATTTAGCATTGTGCATGCATTATCAGCAATATTCACAGTTGGTTCATAGCATTCTTGTCTGTCAATAAACATGTCGTTGTACAGGATGATAATTGCTCTGCCTGCATTTTCTTTGGCACCCAACAATCATTGCTAAATCATTAGTAAATAACTTTTTTTTTGTTTGTGTGTCAGCTGTTCCAAAAATATTGGTTGACTTTGGCAGGCCAGTTTGCTTCACACTTTCAATATGCTTTTGCTTCCTGAAAAGTGCTCTCCCACCAGCCCTCTGCTCCCTTTGTTGACAGTTTTGTATTTGAAAGAGGACATTTTTCTTTCATTTGAAAAGTAAAACAGACATACCTGGATTTGAGAGATCCCAGTAACTGGGTTTCAGGCTGGTGCCAAATTTATTAAATCATCATCATTGTCATCAATTCTCAGGATAGTTTCCTATTTTCTCTCCTGCCATCCCCTTCTCTGGCATATGTAAAACTGACTTTTAAAGGGTTAGAGAATAATGGATCGGGTAAGGTCAGTTCTAGCAGTAGCTATTACAGCTATTATTTTCTCTTTTCATGGGAGGGTGCTCAATAAAATGAGATTGTCACACTCCATGTGTGTGTGTGTGTGTGTGTATGTGTGTGTGTGTGTGTGTGTGAGAGAGAGAGAGAGAGAGAGAGAGGGAGAGAGAGAGAGGGAGAGAGAGGGAGAGCTACAGACAGTTAAAAGCCTCTTCATGTAAGGATGTTATTTCATAAAGACACCAGCACTGGATTATCGCCTTCACTTTAAACTTCTGCCAGCTTGTACAAAGAGATAAAACAAAATAGCCACAGTCCCAGGGGTGGAGAAGTGGTGGCCATATCTGCCTATGTCCACAAGCTTTCATTTTGATTAGTCACATGTGAGGAAAATTCACTTAGGCTGAGAGGTAAATTTAATACCAGTTATGCCCATGCTGTTTATATCACAACCATTTTCACATGATGCCACTTAATTCCCTAAGAAACAGGAAGGTAAATCGGCGGCTGGCTAGCTAAGGTGTCATAATGCATTAGGACCAGGGCTCACTGCAGGGGATAATGGTTCTGATTACTGTTGACTCATGTCTCCACCAACTGCCTCATGTAAAATAAGTGACATTTAAAAGACATCAAAATGTGCATGCGCTGTACTAGACCTTCTACCTGAACACCAGGTCCCTTTTTCACCCTAAGTAATACAAAATGATAATTCAACATGCCGTGGTTGATCTGCACTAAGCTTTTAACTTCCTGTCTTGTGTTTTTAGAGAAAAAACTGTAAAAATGCTTCTGGGAACTTCTCCAGCATGTTATGATTAATTTCTTTTTCCTTTTCTTCCGTTTTTCTACTGTAATTTTGCCCTTGGATATCAGACTGTTCATCTTTTGAAAGGATTAAGACAGAATCAAGTTGGTTTGTGGCATACAACAAGAGGCAGCCTGGTCTCTGAAGGCCCATTTATGTCTATTTTTATAAAGAGAATCAAATTCCAGTTTACAGTAGGCATATGCCTCAGTTGACATCTGTTTCAAAGCCTTGGATGCTTTGCTTGCATAACAGGCAGCAGTAAATGGCCTTGTTTTAAGTCTGTTCACTCAGTTGTATTTGGGTTGTTCAGCTGGGGATTTGACTTGCAGCTGATCCCCTACCGCTCATAACAGATAAAAAAAAGGAGGAGGACAAACGCAGAGAAGCTCAGGCTATTTATTAATGCAGATTTTAACATTCTCAATGAACTACTTAGACTGTTAGACTTTCACCAATTTCTTATTTGACCAGCCAGAAGATTAAGCAATGCTTCAAGGTAACAGAATTAATGTTCAGGGAAAAAAATGGTTTATTTATTTAAATTTTTTTAAACAGTTTCAATCACAGAAAAGGGTATTAATCATTTAATACAAGTGCACAGGGAATCATTTTTTGAGTTGGAAGGAAACAATAGAATTCTGCCACATTTTCCAACATATACAACCCACATATTGTGATACCTATCTAGATATATAAATCTATTTATTTATGGAAAAAAGTGTTTCTCTGTTGTATTAAAAAGTGTTTCTCTGTTGTATTTTGACTGACTATGTGAGAAAAATGTTTATCATTGCACATTTTCTTTGATATATATTTCTATTTTAGAGAATTCTATTCTTTACAGCTGTTTTTCATCCCAGGTAGGTTTTTTCCTCACCCAACTCAAATAAGACTTTACCTTCATCAATGATGTTACTTAGGTTTATGGCCTGATGGTCATATAATTTTTTTATGGTTTGCCTATTTGATTTTAAATAATAATAATAATAATAATAGTAGTAGTAGTAGTAGTAGTAGTAGTAGTAGTACTGCAGCCACTGATTGCTACTCAAAAGGTGGTGTAAAATCCCCACTGAAGTAAATGTTCTATCTACTGACCTCATTACTCTATGCATTTCCTTTGCCTACCAGTCATGTGAAGCATGGACAGGGAAATGCAGATTGCAATTGAATAAAGGTACATATAACTTGAACTAGATATTAAAGAGGGTGATAAGTGATCTGAATATGCTGCTGCTTTCAGAGAAAGAACTATATTTTTATAACACATACTGAAGTTTTTTTTCCAGTACATAAAAGCCCTGGTAATACATTAATTCTTGAAGAAACTCTAGGTTGGATTTGTCATCTTCGTGACTTAATGAATTCCTTGATCTACATCTAGATTAGTAGGAAGCCACAAGAGGTTCTTTTGGATGCAAAACTGGGATGAAGTAAATTAGTTCATTTTATGTCCGACAATGTCTGCATTAGCAGACTCCTGTGCAACCTGAGGCTCCTTTTCATTTTGGGTCCTGCTTCCTCCAAATTGTTACATATGGTTCTCTAATAGTTTACTGAAATTTGTTTTCAAGTGGATTTACTTATCAGCTTTTTCCAGTAGTAGCAACAATAGTAGTAGGAAATGTATATCTCCCATTTACTCTTATCCAGTACTCCTACTTTCTTTTTCTCTTTAATTTTTATATATGGTAAAAATTTCACTGAAGAGAGATTTTAGATGACAGGGCTGTAATTTTAAACCCAACAGAAGAGGTGTAAGCAATTTGAGCTTAGCTGAAGCATAATCTTAGGTTGTCAAGAAGAAACCCATTCTCTCTATGCTAATCAATCAGTGTATTAAGCAACCAATCATCTCTTCAGCTTAGCATATATCCTAAGGTTTGATATATCTATTAACTGCCCATCATGTAGCTGGTCTCTGGATGATGAGATTCTCCTATCTTGGCATTTTGGAGGCAGACAACTGAGCTATCACAGCCTCAGAGAAAAACCAAAGGAGAGATTTCATTCCTTTTCTAGAAAGCAGACAATCCTAGAATATAGAGCAGAGAAAACAAAGTAAATTACTTTTTTTCAACAGCATGAAGTGTGTGTGTGTGTGTAAATTGTATGTATTTTGTTGATACTTTTTCTGAAATAAGAAATTTTATTGTTTGTTGTGATTGAATCTCTAGCAAAAAAAACCCATGTGTAACAATGTTGTTAGCTGTTCATTGCAAGAACTGCTGTAGAAACAAGTGACAAGATTAATAAAAATAATGATATTTTTCCTGCTATTATAGAGGAATCAATGCACTGGCAGTGGAGAATTTTATTGAAGTACCACAGAAAGATACATTTAATCTGAAAAATTGAGCTTGGTTTTCAGAGTATTGCACTTATTTTACATATATCGGAGCATATGTATATCTCTACCTATCATGTCATTCAAGATTTACAGCATAGAACTCTTTCCATTAGCAAAGAATGCTGCATGTGGCCTGGTATGACTAAAGCTGGTAACTTCATATACTCTTTGTTTATTCTACTAAAAATTTTACATTGAAGCCTTTTTTTCTATTTAGAAGCAAATAATTCAAATCCCATTTAGAAAAATATATTTAAATCTGCTAATATCTGCTAATATTTAAGGTATCAGAATATCAGAATATTGATTTATGATATTATGGGAATCTATGTTAAAGAAGGAATACTGTAATTCTCTCTGTTGCCATTAGAGTTCATAAAGTGCATTTCTAGGAGACTGTGAAGTAATTCCAAAGCTTAATTGTCTAAAATATATTATGCATCATCCCCAGGAAAGAATTTGGAAGTTCAGGCCTCACATAGAGTCTTCTACCATTTGGAGGTTAGATCTGTAAGTAGCATAACTGAAATTCATTCAGTCAGTTAGTTGGTTTAGTTTATAAAACATGTGACTTTTATAAGTTAATATTAATTTTGAAACATAATGTTGCTTTGTTATTTCCAATGTTTAAAATTAAAATCGTGATATAGCAGAAATTATATGATAGATTGACTTCTATAGGTCTAGTAAATTGAACAACTAACAGTACAACTCTGACTTAAATCTCATGATTCACAGTGAGGGTTTCTTCAGTTTAGGCTGTAAATTATTGTAGCCTGAATAGCGAAATTGATCTGGCAAATCAGAAGCCTTCCATAATTTTGTGCTTCTCCCCTCCCCCTCCCCAATGTGTTTGTGCCAAAATTTGATTGGAATGGGACAGTCATGTCTTTAGGCAGAACTACACATTTATGTTAAATATATCCCTTGGCCTCACTTTGAATTTGAAATTCCAAAAAAAAGATGAAGTAGTAGGTATGAATGAACTGAGGATCAGAACTAGGGAAGAGGTTTCTGCTCCATTCTGTGTTCCTAACAAAAATCTCCCTCTTGACAATAATGACAATGTTACCTTCCCATTGGAGAAAGAGGATTTTCTTTGGACAGCTTAGCCACTCTGCAGTATTTTGTCCTTCTACCCAACTGTCCAGAGAACTTTGTGTTTCTAAAAAAATAAACAAAATAAAGCAGAAACATAAAACACATGTACAGTATGTGCAGTATATGCTTTAGATTTCAAGCTAACTATTCCTGATACAATGAATGGATCTATTCTAATCACTGTTGTAGACATTTTGGCAAGCCATTTATAATGAAAAACAAATTTGTGTTCAGGAGAAATTAAAAGGAATAAAAATACAGTTTTTATGGATGATACATGAGATCAATTTTATGTATTAGACCGAATTATGAATTTAAACTGGAAAAACAACTGTTCACATTTCTGCTTGGTGACTTTGGTAAACAAAGTGTATTTAATAATATGTGACTAGACTATTGTCTCATGTCCACCCCATTAAGTGAGAACCTGAGAAAGTATTTCACTCTAACAATAAAAAGAATACAAGCAAAAAACAGTACTGAAATACACATGCAATTTTTGACTCCCCTACTTTTTAGTTCCCATGTTAATTCTCTTCTAAGCTCCAAAACCAGAAATAAGTTATAGACTAAAGAAAAATCATATTTAGTTAGCAATTTGCAGGAATGTTTGGTTACCATCTCCCAGAAGCAATCAAATAAGTCATATCTTCTCTTTATTTATTTACTATTAAATTTATTTCCTCCCCATCTCAGCATGGGGCTACTCTGGGCAGCTTATAAGTGAATGGATAAATACAAAAATTGCCCATCTTTTGCGGTCATAATGATTTTGTCATTCAGCTATGAACGCCATTGGATGGTTATCTTTCAGTGCAGTCAACTGCATGGGATATTTTAAAGATAAATAATGCAAATTAAGCAAACAAGCATCTCTTATAATCCAACTCCAAGGAAACAGACAGTACATTTGGAGATTGCCTCCCTTCAAGAATGGGCTGGATGAAGGATGACAATGATGAGAATAAATTGATGTTAAGTGCACACAAGATGGAGGTGATATTGATAAATAAGAAACTCGATTTGGGGATTTAAACCAATTTGGTATGAGGTTGCCCTCTGCTTGAAAGAGCAGGGTTGCAGGCTAGAAGCATTCTTTGATCTTCAGCTGCCACTGGATTTGAGGTGATGGCTGTGATAGAGAACACCTTTGCACAATTATGCCTGATGTATCAACTGTAATACTGCCTGAGCTGTTCAGATTTGGCCATGGTTATCTACTCTTCAATTGCCTCATACCTTAGGTATAGTAATATGCTGTAAATATGGCTATATCATCACATCTGGAAGTTATACATAATGAAAAAGGCCGTAGCTACACTACTAACTGGTGAATGGCACAAGGATCATATTACTTACAAGGCACAATTTCAGTTATTGTAATGGATCTTTAAAGCAAGGATGTGCAAAATTCCATGTCTGCATAATAGGATAATCACTTCCAGAAAATGACAAACTACATCAGAACTCCAGATCAGCATGTTCTAAGACAAAAACAATCAGGAATAGCAGAAGAAATCCATGTAGCTATCAAAAAAAGGAGGAAAGTTCTGAAAAAAACCCTATATGAGATATATGTAAATGTAGAGAGAACGGTACAGAGGGTGACATGAAGGACTGGGACTAGGAAATAATGCAGTTATGTTCAGAATTAATCGAAAAGAAAAGAATCTGAATTTTAGATGCTCAGTACATTTCTGCTGACAAGACCTTTTGCATCATGAAATGTCTGTGGAGATTCTCAGTCATCCAGGTCATAGTTGTCTCAAAAATGCTTTTTCAAAAGGCAACTGGACTGTGTTTTTTTTCCCCCACATCTGATGAAGTTTCTTGAATGAGAAACGAAATGTTTTGTTCGTTTTCCTCAAGGAAAAAACAGTTCAGTTGCCTTTTGAAAAAGCACTTTTGAGACATCACGAAATGTGTTTTCTCTAGAGCAGAAGGTCAAACTCGCAACATCACGTGACATCGTGCAATGTATCGGGACGGTTTTGCCATTGCCGACAATGGAGTGGGCGTGGCTTCTGAATGACGGGTCCGGCCCA